GGGCTCTGCCACCTCCCTGCTCTCCTCGCCGAAGAAGCCACTCCAAAAAAAACAAACAGCCTGACCCATTATCTCTAATCAAAACCCAGCTCCTCAGAGGCCACCTTCCACCAACTGACTGCCTGCTCTGCCCGTGGGTCCCACCTGGAGAGACGTGGAGCTTTTTCCCTCGGAACCAACATTATCAATCCCCGGTTCCCGCTACTTCTCTCTCCCCCGAATCCGCGGCAGTAAAAGCAGGTTCTGTTTTCTTCGCATCTCTCCCCTCCAGGGGCCGAAGGGCACAGGAAACCCCAGCCCCCTTTTTTCAAGCGCAAAAGTTCATTCATCTGACAGAAAGGCTTGTGTTTTTTTTTCCTTTTTTTTGTTTTTTTTTTGTTTTTGTTTGTTTGTTTGTTTGTGTGTGTGTCACAGAGTAGAGTCCAGACAGTAGCCAATTGAAGCATAGAGAAAACACCTCGAAACCCTCCTCCTGCCCGAGCGCGCAGGCTCCTCTCACTCGTAACTGCTAGCCAATGTAGGAAGAAGAGGCTGATTGCTGCAACTTTTAAATCACACTGAAAAAAAAAAAAAGTTCTCAAGGTTTGGTGCTCTAATTTAGTTTTGTTTGAAACGTATATTTTTTTTTTTTTGGTTGGTTTTTTTTTTGGATTTTTTTGTTTGGTTGGTTTTGTTTTTATAAGCTTCTCAGAACAAGGATCTCCCAGGTCCACCACTAAGAATTCAGAGACAAACCTCTTTTTTTTAAAAAAAAAAGAAAAAAAAAAAAACGAAACAAAACAAAAAATAAACAACTCAGCGCTCCTTTTGAAAAGGATCTCTTTAAAAACCACCTCGTCACGAAAGACCCGTTCAGAATGTGGGCGACACGATGACACTAAGATTTCAGAGCCAGTGTTGGACAACAAAACCTGCATCTCAGAGTTGAGCATCAGCTGGATCCCGCTGGATTTCTGCTTGGCTTGCTGTCACCGAGTCAGGGACTCTCCCTCCCTCTCCCTCTCTGCATCTCTCTCTCTCTCTCTCAGATACTCTGCTTCTAAAATGTAAACAGTCACTGCTAAAATATAGTACCCCTTAGAAACGAGAACAACAACTCTGAGATGAGGGTTTTCCTCTCCCCCCTCTTTCTGCTCTGAAAAGTAATGCCCTGCTCGCCAAGAGAAGGATGGAATGAAGTGAAACCTGCTTTTTTAAGGCCCTTCTCTCGAGCGTGGGTGACTGGGGGAGCAGGGACTCAGCTGACCACTCATTTTGGGGTGAGTTCCTTCCCAGCGAGGCGCCAGCAGGTCCGTCAGGGCTCTCTCTCCTCTCGGTCGGTCTCCTTGTCTCAGTGAGCTCTAGCAGTGGGCTCTCTCGCGCGCTCCTTTCTCTCTCTCTCTCTCTCCTCTCCGTTGGTTGGTTTCTTTCTCCTGTTGCTCTCACACAGTGGTGCTTCAGTTTTAGCAGTGGAAAACAGGTATCCATTTTATTTTATTTTTTTTATTACCCAGAATAAAATGCTGATGAACTAAGCTCCACGCAAGCTTAGCTCTTCTTCCTCAACCTGGAAGGGAGGAGACAGAAAAAAAGGGGGGCTGTGTCAGGGGCAGCACTGCTCACACCAACTGCTCAGGAGCCTGAAGGAGGGGGAGGAGGCAGAGGAGGGGCCCCCTGAGGTTCTTACACTCTAATACTGTGACAGTCCCGTCACTCCACCATGTTGATATGCACGTTCACCCTGGTAAGTTGAGTCCTGTGACAGCGCCACGTCAATCTGGGATTTAAACTCATCACCAAGGTAACTGTCCTGGAAAGGAAAGGCTGTGTGAACCTCCACGCCACCCCCAGTTGCTCCCCCGGGGGGGCCCAGGTTAAAGTCTGAGGGTTTTTACGATCTGGTTTGGTGGGGAATTTGTGCAAAAAAAGGGGGTTTTGGTGGCTAAAAGTTGAGATCTGGAAATGCAGCATTTCATGCCCCAGTGCACTCTGAGAGTCACACAGTGCAGGAGCACAAAATGGTTTCAGTTTCATTTCCCCCAGTGCCACAACAAGGATGTGCCTGCACACACAGACACCCACACAAAGCCCAGGGAAAGGTCAGACCAGACCAGCCTACCCGCCCAGCCCTGCTTACCTGTGATAACTCCGGTTGGGAGAGCCCAGGCTGACTCATCTGTGAAGGCTGACTCATGGAGATATAGCCCTGAGTCAGGGGGCCCTGGGAGAAAGGCTGGGACACCACGTCTTGGCTGGCTTGACTGTTGGGAAGGTTGGACTGGCTCGTCCCAGGGATCCCAAAGCGGTTTTTCTGGCGCCCGCCGCGCCCCGTCTTTCCTTTGGGAGCCCCGCGCCCTGCAGGAGGGACCGACCCCCACCAGCAGTGAGAAAGCTCTGCTCAAAAACAGCTTTCCAACCCCTCCAGGGGGTTGTTCTGCCCCCCTCCCACCCCCTGTACCTGCAGCGGGGCCGTTGGCCTGGCCGAAGTAGCCCGGGGGCGGCATCGGGGGCATCACCAGGTTGAAGGGGATGGGAATGTTCATGGCGGTGACGTGGCTGGGGCCAGCGCTGATCATCCCGATCTGGTCGTGGGTTTGGAAGTACATGTTGGATGGGCGCCCTGCAGAGGAGGAGGAGGAGAAGTGATTTCAGGCACCCTGGATATTTAAAAAAAATCGATTCATAGCCCTGCTTGTAAGACAGGGGAGGACTCGGGAGAGGGATGAGGCAGAAATGGAGAGGACAGGCCAAGGACCACCAGGATTCCTGGTTCACTGTTTACTCCACACCTGAAAATTCCACTAGCCCATCTAACACATGTTCACCCCCAGGGCTTCTCTTTCAAAGAATCATCTGAGATTCCTGAAATGCTTCTCACATGCTCCCCTTTCCCCCTCATTTTTCACTTGCTCTGCAGACATCCAGTTAGACCGGCAGGGGTTCCACACACAGAGAGCAAAATCCAGGCAGACTGTCAACATTTTCAGTCCTTACCTTCCATATTTTTCTGCAGTGGCTCTTCTAATATTTAAAAATTTAAAGTGGGTAAAACACCACACCCCAAGGACCAGTTGGGGGGGGAACACAAAAAAAAAAATCAACCTATAAAGGTGGTAATTTTGATCATTTCCTTTACCTTGACTGCTCCTGTCATACACAGATCCTGGAATAATGGCCTCACGTGCATCATACATGGCAGTGGTCATGAAACGGGCACCCTGCAAGGATGAGGGGAGTCAGACAAAGCCTTTGCCTTGAAAACCCTGCACTGCAACCTCAGGGAAACAGAAGCCCAGTAAAACCCCACGGATCACAAGTTTGCCAGCACTGAGGAAATGAATTAGTCCCAAGGCACCAAAACCCCTCTGGTTATTATTTCAGCTGCAACTTGACTGCAAGGAGTAAGATTTCAGAGGCAGCATCTCAAAAAGTGTGAAACATCTGATGAGTTTTCAGTCTATTTTAAGGCTCTGCTGATAGTTTTTCCCCTTGTTCTATTCACAGCACTGTCCTGTCTTGGCTGACAAGCTCCCTCCACCCAGTAACTCCTTATTTTTTTGTTAGAGAATCAAGCATAAAACTTGCAGGTTGAGGGTTGATGCAGTGCTGTGAAGTTCATGTGAGTTGGCCATTTCTAGACAGGAAGTTTATTCACCTCAGAACTTACCCCCTCAGGAAATTCCGCAGTCAAAAAGCCCCTCAAAATTGCACCCTGGGGACAGCTGAAGCAGCCGCTTCCTTGGGTCCCACCACACCAGCCAGGCCCCAGAGAGTTCCAGGGCTGTGCTGGTGACTGTTCACCCCACTCATCTGCCATTTCTAATTAATCAGCTGCCCCCTGTCCCAGACAGCCCAGGGCAGGGGGGACACTCACGGGGTTGATGGTGTTGACGAGTTTCCGGGGTTTGCTGAACTGCATGAGGCTCTCCCGGAGGTTGTTCAGTGGTCCCTCCACCAGCACCTTCTGCTCCTTGTAGTAATTCAGGAGGTGATTCCAGAGTGGCTGCTTGGACAGGGCTTTGGGGTTCCCAACAATGATTACTCCATACCTGCGCCAACAGCAGAGGAGCTCAAATTAGGCTGGTTAAAAAAATCAATTGATATTGCAAATCAAACGACACACTGATGATGTCGGAGCAGCCTCCAAAATCCACCTCTCAGCTGAAGCAGCCAAGAGGAGGAGGTGCAGCTGGTCTGTTTACAGCAGATGTTTTCCACAGGATGACAAAACACCTGGAAGGGAGGTTGCTGCAGCCAGTTTCTCAACAGCCACAAACTTCCTCCTTCAGCGAGTTCCCCCCAACCACCACCTTCTACTGGGTTTCAAAGCTCCCAGGAAAACAAGGGAGCCAAAGGACATCATGTTGGATTCCACATCACCTTTCCTGGAATTAAATCCATTAGAAGCAAAATGGTCCAAAAAAATGGTTGTTGGAAGGGGTAAAGAAGCAGGGAAGGGATCTGCCCTGAGGACAGAGGGGAAGGAGAGGCTGAAAAGTCCTGAGGCCAAACAGGAACAACTGCCTGGGCTGGGATGAACAGAGATGGCACAGAATGGATTGGGTGGGAAGGGACCTTAAAGATCACCTGTTCCCTGCAGGCAGGGACATTTTCCACCAGCCCAGGTTGCTCCAACCTGGCCTTGGACACTCCCAGGGATGGGGCAGCCACAGCTTCCCTGGGCAACCTGTGCCAGGGCCTGCCCACCCTCCCAGGGAGGAATTCCTTCCCAATATTCCACCTCAGCAGCCAGTGAAGCCGTTCCCTGTGCCCTGCCCCTCCAGGCCTCTGTCCAAAGCCTCTCTCCATCCTTCCTGCAGGCTCCTCCACGTGTCCAATTCCACTTTACCTGGCTCTGGTAAGGGCCACGTTGAGCCTCCTGGGGTCATTGAGGAACCCAATTCCCTGGTGCTCGTTGGCCCTCACACAGGAAAGGATAATGAAGTCCTTCTCCCGGCCCTGGAAGGCATCCACACTCGCAATTTCCACTTCCTGAAACGGAGGACAACACGTAAATCACGGAAGCCAAACAGTTGTGCTACCCACAGGCACTGCCAGACGTGCTGGCCACGCGCTACACCCTGCCATCACCTGCCAAAAGTGTTAACTTCTGGAATGAGGAGCGATTTGGTAATTCCACTGGTCACTAAATAGCTTCCCTGGAGAACAGAGAGCCTCAGTTTAGGAGAAATTACTCTCGTGTTCACCGCTTGATGGCCCTCCCATTTCCCCCAAACTCTGGGAATCGGCCCTTTGCTGGGAGGCTGCCAGGGAGAATTCTGAGTACTCCTAAACCCCACAGGGAAGAGAGGTCCAAATTAGCACTGCTGCTCCCAACCCCCAGAAACCTGAATCACAGGGACAGATCATTCCTGGCACAAGGAAAAGTATCTCCACCAAGTTTCCCTTCAGTGAAAACACTTGAGTGAGTTCCCAACATTGCAAAACAAGCCTGGATTAAACATCTAATTGCCTTGTTTGCGGCAGCTAGTGCTGATGTTTGGTAGAGGAGTCCCACTGATGGCAGGACATGATCCCAAGGAAATAAACAGCATGACCATCAGCAATTATGGAGCTTGGTGTGTCTCTTTATCCAAAACACAAACTTTTCCACAGCTGGAGCCCCAGTGACCTCTCCCTTCTGTGCCTCAGGACCCTTCCTTTCAACACAGACCTCCTTTTACCTGTTCAGCTGCTCCCACTGGCACCTGAAACCACCTCCCAAACTCCTCTCCCTGCTCTGGTTCAACCACAATCAACTAAAAAAGTTCAACAATCAAACCCAGACTGGAAATGTAAAGTACTGTGAGGCTTTCCTGGCTTCCCCTGTGCTTCCATCTGTACCTGGTAGAGCTTTGTGTGCAGGGAGCCACTGAACTGCATGTACTGCACCAGGTAGGAGCGCTGCCCCTCGTAAGGAGTGATGATGCCAATCTGGTCTGGTTTGGCCCCAGCCTTCAGCAGCTTCGTGGTGATTTTCTCCACGTTGGCAGCTTCGGTCCTGGAGGGAGAGACATTGGATTATCCGAGGAGGATTAATTAACACACTGGGTCTGATTTTTGGCAGCTTAGTTAGGGTCTAAAAGCCTTGAAGGTGGATGCTGTGAGGTCACCTCAACGAAAAGATCAATTTTGCACTGCTCAAACGACTAACTCAGCTCGAGCCTTGCAGGAAACATTCCCCACTGTCACCTCTTGATCTCAACCCCAGAGGGACATGGGCCCAAACCAAGCCTCAGAATGACACAAATTTCTCCTTAGGTGCACCTCCACCTTCTCAGAATGACACAACTGCACTTCCTGGAACAGTAGAACTCCCAGTGGCCACCATTCCAAAACGCTTTTATAACCAAGACCACTCAAAAACCATCCCAACCTGCCATGCAAACAGATTCCCTCAGGTGGCTTCACCTTAAAGCTTCAAATACAGAAACGTTTTTAATGCCCATCAGCCAACTATTGTGCTGTTTGTTTGTGCACAATCTGCTCTGCTGTCTCCAGTCTTGCACATGCTGCTCAGGAAACAGACTGAGATTAAAAATATCCCAGCAGCTATTTTTCAGAGCTTGGTCTGCTTTCCCTTCCAGGCACACGAACAAACACGGGCAACCAAGAGGAACAGAGTGGTTTAAGCTCCTTCTTTGACACAGAAGTTGGAATGGGCAGAAAAAAATGAAAATTAAATTGCCATCCCTTCTGCACCACCACTAAAATCCAAGACTTAGGGCTCTGCTTCAGGAGCTACAGGAATTCTGGCTTCAAAATGCAACCGGATCAGCATTTCCTGCTGTAGCTGCAGTGGGGTTTATTCATCCCACAGATCAGGCACTTCATCATCCCTTACACAACCTCATACAGCCAGTGAAAGAAGACAAACTCCTCCACAGAGCAATTCAAATCCACTTAAAAAGCTCTGCACTGCTCCCACTGGGTGCTTTTTCCTCCTGGTTTACCATCAGGGGAGCCCAGGGCAAACCAACTGCAACCTGCAGCTCGGCCTGCGCCATCCTCCACGACAGCTTTTGTTCAGGAGGCCCACGAGCCACTTCAGCTCACTCTTCATTCACTGCCCCCGAGGTTTTATTGACTCAGAACTGCCCAGCTCCAGGGTGGGTGTTTGAGTTACCTGTTCAGGTAAGAGGTGCCCGAGCTGGCAATCTCCTCCTGGCCCTGGGTGACGTAGAAGAACATGGGCTTGTCAGGCTGTGGCCACTGGAAATCGAAGCCTTTCTTCACACGGTCGGCTGAGGAGCAGGAGAGCAGCGGGAGACACGGAAGTGAACAAGAATATTTGGATATTTCTGTCTTGAAGCCCCTTAAACACCCAAAACTAAGCACTAATTCATTCAGGAGGGACAAGGCAGATTAAAGAAGCTGCCTCTGAGCCTCAGGGAGTGGGAACAGCGACCTTTGGGCCGCTCACCTGCAGTGACCCCGTTCTGGAGAGAGCCCTCGTAGAAGATGTTGGAAGGGAAGGCGCTGAGGGCGGGATGCATCCGGTACTGCACCTGCAGCCGGATGGGCCGGATCCCCAGCACCACCAGCCTCTCAAACAGGGACTGGGACAGCCCAGCCTTGGCAGCCTTCTTGCACATCACCACAGGCCCCAGCTGGCAGTGGTCACCCACCAGGATAAGCTGTGGGAAAGAAGAGTGTGTAGAGAAAGTTTATTTTCTTGCTTAAAACAACGGCAATATCCTCCTGTAAGATACAGAATCAAGCCCAGGCTGCTCCAACCTGGCCTTGGACACTTCCAGGGATGGGGCAGCCACAGCTTCTCTGGACAACCTGTGCCAGCCCCTTCCCACCCTCACAAGGAATGATTTCTCCTGAATATCCAACTTAAACCCCAAACTCTGTCAGCTTAAACCACTGCCTGATATATTAGGAGCTTATCAGTCTGGCCTGTGCTAAGCTTCACATCTCACCTAAGGCTTAGGAACCTTTAGTGTCACCTCCCTTTCCAGCTGATGGTTTCGAAATAAAAGCTTATTCAGCCTCCAGATTGTTCCAACAGCAGAAAATGTTCCAGGCAAAGATTACGCCATGGAAACGGAAAGCTGACAGGACTAGCACAAAATGAAGAGTCCTTCAGGTTTGTCTTTCAGGAGAGGGAAGAACTTTGCATCCCTGCGTGCCTACGGGGGGAATGTCCCTGCTGGGTGCTGCCTGCTGGATTTCCAGACTCCTGCTGGGATGGAAGCCAAGGGGCTCACCTGCTTTGCTCCCAGCACAACGGGCACCATGCACTCGGGCTCGGTGGCCTGGGTGCTCTCATCGATCAGGATGGAGCGGAACTGCATCTTGGCCAGCCTGGGATCCCCGGCGCCCACGCAGGTGCAGCAGATCACATCGGCGTTCTAGGACGCAAACACGGGCGTGGTTAACCCCTCCCCACACGGCACAGCCTTCAGAGCCAGCCCAGGAACCCCCCCAGGGGTCCTCTGAGCCCCACCAGCGGGAGCAGAGCCCAGGGGGCCTCACCATGAGCAGCTCCCGCTCCGCGGTTCGCTTCAGCGCCCGGTAACGTTTCTCATCAGCAGATGAGAGCTCTCCAGTTTCATCTTTGAGCTGCTGCAGTTTCTGAAGCTCTGGCATGCTGCAAAAAAAAAAAAAAACACCAAGAATTTTACTTCAGGCCCTGATCGTTTGCAGGATTACAGCAAAAGTAATTTTTAACTAATCATGACACACGTACAGAAGAGTGAGTCAAGCGAACACCTGAGTCACAACAACACCCACCACACCACCACCCACCAGCTGTGTCCCTAAAACCAGGGGTGGGGGGGGTTCTGCTCATTCCTGACCTGTCCATGTTCCTGATCTGGTTGTGCAGTGCCAGGAAGGACACGGGGGAGTCGATTGCCTCACGGCTCTTGGCACACAGACGAACCACCTTGAGCCCGGTCTGGTGGATCTTCTCGGTGAGCTGGTCCACGGCGATGTTGCTGGGAGCACACACCAGCACAGGCCTGGGGAAACACCACCAAACAAGTCCTTAAGGAGCTACAAAGCTGGGGTTTTTTTGGTTTTTTTTTTCCATCAGACTTGTAGTAAAAATACGCTGGGCAAGGGTATTTGCTGAACCCAAGTCCTCCCAGAAAAATACAGTTCTGGGAAAGCTCTGTCGATGATACGAAGGAGTTTTGTGGGTTTTTTTTTTTTTTAAATCAAGGTGATTCTTTCCATTAATAAAGTAACCTCACACATAAAGCCCTGCAGAGAGCAGTTCTTACCCATTGCCCTGTCTGGCCAGATGATACACGATGGTGGCTGATGTCACTGTTTTCCCAGTGCCAGGGGGACCCTGAATAAGGCTCAGAGGACGCTGCAGGACTGTTTTCACGGCATAAACCTACAAAAACGGGGTTTACTGCTGATTGAGCATTCAGCGCATGGGACGGTGAGGTTGTTTAACCTCTGCTCGTAAATCCTGCAGCGCATTTCGTGCAAGCAGCAAAGAGGAGAAGGGGTTACCTGAGAGTGGTTGAGATCAGGAAGTCCTTGTGCTGTGAAGCGCTTTGGCAACTGGCATTTAATAATCACATCCTCCACCTCGTGGCCCAGCAGCTTGTGGTAGATGTACCCAGACACCGAGGTCTCGTCCACAGCGAACGTTTTGAGGGCACTCTGCATTCTGGAAAGGAGGCAAGGGCAGAAAAGTGAGTCAGGGACATCAGTGTGACCTGGCTGTCCACAGGTGTCCCACACAGAGGTGCAGCAGGCACAGATTTAAATTACACCTCTTGGAAAGTCCCTGCTAACAGAGTCAGGAGAAAAAAGCTACACCCTCAGAACACGGGGCTCGTTTTTCCTCCACGTGAACGTCACAAAAGAACCAGAAAAATGTGCAGAGGGACAACACCTGGGACAGTGATTTTAGGTGCAGGATTTGAGGAAAATCTGCACCCAGAATAAACAGTGGGATATATTACTACTACTACTAACAGGGGATTCTAATATCCTAATAACAGGATAATAAGCCAGCCTACAAAATGCTCTACAGGTGTGGCTGAAGACCCCAAATGCCTTGACATTTTAACCAGTTCAAGCAATATCACTTTTTTTTGGACCAAAACCACTCACTGAAGGCAAAGAGACAAAAAAAAAACCAAAAAACCACCCCACAGGCAGAACCTGCACCAACCCCATGGCAGGTTTTGGAGTGTTTTCCCAATACCTGTCAAAGGAAGTAGATTTCCACACAAAATCCACTTGGAAGTTGTGAGTAACTTCCACAGGGGCTCCCACGCTGCTCCTCAGCTCGATGGCAATCTCATCACCATAATCTGTAGAACCTCGTTAAGTAGTAATCTATAGCAACAATTTGAAGTTTATTTTCCCCCAATTCTGGTCATTTTTTTTTTTTTTTTGACAGCAAGATCCCCCAGGATAAATTGAAATTATCTCAGAATTACTTCTGGATGTATTCAGTGGGTTCTTGGAGAAGCTGCAGCCTCAGGCTGAGGCTCAGTGAGGGCTCTCTAAGTAAAGGATACTATCAGGAACTTTGATAACATGACCAATTCCTTTCCACAGCGGGGCCAGGTCTCCTTTGTACCTCAGGCAGATCTCATCTCCTTGCATGAGCCTCATGTCTACAAAGGAAAGGGGAAAAAAAAAATGCTCTCAGCAATCACCTCCCACCACAAAAACCCTTCAAGAACTCCCTGCTGTCCCAGGTCAGATCCTCACAGTGCTTCAAACACTGATTTTTTTATTTTTTTTTTCACCAGGTATAAAAAAACCACCCTTAAAAAACCAATCCAGTTGTCATTACCTGAGTCAGTCTTTGGCAAAGTGAAGTAAGCAATTCTCTTCTTGTTCAAGCCCAGGTCCCATCTGACTGTGATGTTATCTTGGGTCTAAGGGTGAAAAAAAACAACAAAAAAAGAGCTGTTTGCCAACTGTGCTTCAAAATACCAAAACTTGGGGTTCCAGTGTCACAGAAATCTGTATTTATTGCAATGGACTGAGCTCTCACCACCTGCAGGAGGCTGATTCTCTTCTACAAAAGTGAGCTGTGAGAGACAAAGCCCTAATCAGCACCTGAAGGAAAACTTTTAACACAGAAAAGATGGAAGCTCCCAAGTGTTTCAAGTTCTTAAAAAAAAAAAAAAAAAAACAAAACAAAACAAAACAGTTGGAGGATTTTTCCTTCCTCTCCCACTACTGCTGATATTACAGTAATTAAGACATTTACTCCACTTCAGGCTTCCTTCTGCGCCCTAACCACGAATTTGACACCAGAGGACTGGTGAGAAATCCCCTCAAACAGGCAAATTTCAAAGCAAATCACCTGAGACTCCTTGAGTTTCTTGTCATAATCTGCCTCAAGCTTGACCAGAGGACCAAATATATTTTGGTATTGATAAGCATCTTCGTATCTAAGCAGGACATGCTGCGGTTCCTCATCGACACCAGGCTTTTCCAGGTCCTCCAGGGTGGCAGATGGATTTTCCTAGAATTTAAAGCACAGGTGTTGAAAGCCTGAACCCTCTGGCACTCCCCAGCTGGGTGATTTCAGTGCTTCCCTCCCTGCCACACTTGCTCAAAATCCCTTCCTTTCCTTCTCAGCCCCAGGGAATCGTTGCTTTGGGAACCCCCCCTGAGCAGCAATCCAGAGGAGCAGCAGGTACCTTCCAGAGCTCCTCCAGCTTGTTGATCTGCTGGGCCGTGATCTGCCGGGCCCTGAGCTGCTCCTGCTCCGACGGGATCTTCACCAGCCACGACAGGAAGCAGCGGTCCTGGATGAGGGGCTGCCACTGGGAGCTGTCCCAGTTGATGTCCTTCAGGCTGCTCTGGCTGGCACACGGCTGCCTGCACGACCAAAACGGGCACCAGGGCACTCATTACACACATGGAAAGGCTTCCTGAAACAGCTCAAATCTTGGGTAAAAAGGGCGGGGGGGGGGGAAGCAGCAAAACAAGCCCAAGCTTGCTGTAAAAATCAGGTTTTTAGTCCTTGTGTTTGTTGTTTCAGCACTGGGAAGGGTCAGTGCTGTAAGGAGTGCTGGCTGGGTGGTTCTAG